ATGATTAAGACAGTATTTTTTAATTTGAAATTCCTCTACCATATTTTAATTTTCTGGCACTTGCTATTCTCTATATTAAACTGCAAAACAAAACAGTGTTTTGCACAATCACATATCCAAATACTTTATGTTTAATGAAGCTAGTTCATTAAATTCTATAATAAGGACCATGACTTCAGGTACCTTGCCACCTGAAAATATTTGAGTTTCACTGGGATATGACAAAGAGAGAGAGAGAGGAGATGGGTAAAAACATGAGGATAGTAGAAGAAAAAGTGTTAGATGGTACAGCAAAAAGGCTCACCAGGAATGAACTGCGTGTGTCTATAGGATTAGTTGAAAATAATGTTGATTAGGTAATAATTAAGTCTAGTTTATCCTGAACGTAGTAATTTATAATTTGCAAAGAGCTCACACATATCTATGCTCATCCACATAACAACCTTTCAGATGAAGAAAGTAGGCAATAATATTACCATTATCATTAATGACAGATGCTTTCCCCGCCTCTTTTTTCTTCTTTTCTTCCTTTTTTCATTCCATTTGTGTGATACTGGTAATTGAAAATAGAACCTTGTGCATGCTAAGCAAGTGCTCTAAGATTGAGCTAGAAAATATTGTCTCTAAAAAATATGTCTCTAAAAAATTTTGAGACACAGTCTTGGTAATTTTTCTTACACTGGCCTCAAACCTGCCTCAGCCTCCCAAAGAGCTGAGATTACTGATGCGTGCAGCCGTACCTGTTTTGTAACAATAGTTTCCAATTAATGTGTACTTACTATGTACTAGACATTTTGGTGAGTCCATTACACATATGATCTCTAACAAAACAACTCTGCAATACGGCTTTATATCTTAATTGTACTGATGCATAAACTAAGACTCAGGAAGTTTAAGTAATTTGTCCAAGACCATATCGCTAAAACTGCCCAGATGATTGCATTTGAACTCTGTGTTTATTTGATCCCAGCTCCTCTATGCTACTGCAATACATGAGAAGAGACAAAAGGGAGAAGATAGCAAAAGTACATAGTATTACAGGTTACCTATAATATTTCATCAAGTAAATGAATTAAAATAATTTTTGAAGTCCATTTCATAAAAGCAGCTTTGGGCCTGGGATTTAGCTCAGTGGTGCCACTGCCTGCTTTGCAAGAACAAGGTCTGGAGTTTTGATTCCCAGTACAAAAAAAAAGTATATAGTACAGTACATCATTGGGATCTTGTACATTTACATGACAGGTCTTGGTTCTCATTTTGTCCCCTTACCCCTACCCTCCCTTCATCCCCCTTCCCTATTTACAAAAACTTTATTTCCATTTTATGATTTTCTCAGATTTTTTTCTTTTCCTTTATTTCCTTTCCCCTACCCTTCCCACTTCCCCCATACTTTTAGCCCCTTTCTTCCTATTTCACATTGTCAATCGTACCATTAGAATCTTATGTACCATTATAGTTTTTCACACCAGAGAAGGTATTTTTTTTTAAAAAAAGAGGTTGCCAAAGATAGAGATAAGTACCAAGCCGGTCTCAGAGTCTCATTTCCTCTTGAAAGGATGAAATACACATGATGGTCATTTAGATGGAATAAATGGCTTCACACATGGGGAAAAGCTTGGATTATCAATCAATATCATTATGAGAGGATATAAATGTTGACAGTAGGCCTTGAACAAGGGAAATGCAACATCTACTTTAGTTCCAGAGAGAATGATGCAATCTGTCAGAGAATTTAGACCCTCTTGGTAGGAAAGCTTTGCTACCCACTTCCTACCAGAAATATACTCAATATTCAGGACAGAATAAAAACTCTTTTAGACGCTTGAAAAGATGGCAGTAAGTCTAGGAAGTAAAGCAGTTACAACTTTATTCATAAAAGAATTCTTCTACTATGTACTTAAAACCAACTAACTCATATTGTTTGATCAATTTTTAAACTCAAAATTTAAAATTTAATAAATATGAAATAACAGTCTTGAAATATTTGGTTTTGGACTAAATAGCATTTTCTGTAAAATCAAGGAAGACAGATGCTTTTTTTTACTCAAAAAAAGCCTGGGCTAAAAACATTCAAAACAAAGTAAAATAAAAAACACTTACTTAGTAAACTTTATAAAGTTCTAGGAACTTGCTACTCAAAGTGTGGTCCAGTTGTATAGGTGTCACCTATGAGTCCTTTGAAATGCTGAACCCTAGATCTATTGAAACAGAATATGAATTTTAATATCATCCTCAGACAAGTTTTAAAAGATTGAAAATGAGGAAAATAACTCAGAAGCTATATAAGAGACATAAGAAACAAATTAGCATATTTTTGTAATTACTAAATATAAATGCAAAGAACCTTATACTTCTGTATTTTTCCCCTGTCCCATAGCTGCCAGTCCCTTCCTCCTTGGCAGATATCATTGTGTTTTGTAAGATAGTATGACCATACATCCTGATTTGTCAACTTCATCGCATTAAGTAATGCCTAGTAGAAGATTAATAAAGCAAACTCCTGATTATATCTGCGGTGTGACATGGGGTAGAGTGTTATATATAGTCCCTAGTTCATATGTCTCCAGCACTGTTTCCCTGCTCTGCTCTCTAGCCCCTATGAACTAAGAAGCTTTTCTTTGTTACCCCTTTCCACTATGATATTCCTGCTTTGGAGACACCTGACAATGAATTGAGGTCACCTTCCAACCATGAACTAAATTAAACCTGTCCATTAAATTGTGAGTGTCTGATATTGTATTCAGAAATAGGAAAGCTGAGAAGTACAATAAAGATGTGTAATAATGGATGTTTGCTAATAATAACTCTCAGTCATCAAGAAGAGGTGTAACTTTGTTTAGGTAATTGTTTAAGTATGTTTTGGATTATACAACATATTTGAGAAATATTTCTGTGAAGGAGTCAATTTTATACATGGATGCTTAAATTGCCTGATAAATTGACTTTTTTTTTTCAGTTCCAGAGATCGAATTCAGGACCTGTGATTGCAAGGTAGCTCTGTACCACTGAGCTAAATCCTGGTCCTGATAATTTCAGTTTTGAAAGCTTCCTTATCGTTTCTAAATGGTGTCAGGTAAATGAAAATTTTTCAAACTAGAGTTCAGGAAACTTAGAGATGGTAGTAACCTAAGGGTTGTAGTATCTGACATTTAAAAAGTAAGTTCATGTTTTTATGTAATACAATAATATTTTAAAATAAATGTCACCATTTCATAAATGATAACTCAGCTAAGGTTCAGAGAAGATAATTAATCTTCTAAAGGTCATACAGATAGTTAACTGCTGTTAAGGCCCAGGTTTGAACTTAGTGCTGTCTGACTACATTTTGTTATACATATTATTTGGTTTTCTCTATAGGTAATAAAGCAACTCAGTCAGAGAAGCTGGGTAGAGACACAGATTTTCTTAGTCTCTGCAGACCATGCTACTTGTAGAGTTACTTGTGAGATAGGCATACAGAATTTAGTAGCATAAGCCATTTCTCTCACTTACCAAGGAATGACGAACTTCTCTACTACTTTGTGTGCCATAATTTACAGTATGCTATTTCTTCCTTCTTCACCTTGGTGGATTTTACTCTTGTTTGAAGCAGCCACCTTATCATATACTTTATTATTTTTGTCCCGAGACCCAATTCTTCAGTGACATCAAGAAAGGGCTAGTGAGGATAGGTGAGACAATGAGAGACAAGGAGTAAGAAAACTTTAAGCCCCATGTGTCTGTCTCTCCTTCCTCAAAACCCTGTTTCCTTTGTCCCTGTGTTGATCACCTTTTCATAGCCTCATCCTGCTCCTATGATAAGAAATGCTAACATTGATGCTTGTTGATCCTCTGGAAGGAAGATAACACTTCATTCAACCTCATGAATTTGGTCCCTAGCATTTCCAGCTATGTGCATAACATATTCAGTTTTTCTGAAGAAGCTGAGTGAATGATTTGCTTTCTACTTCCTATGGCTGCTAGAAGTCAGTATTCTTCAAAACCTTCACGCTAGGTGTGGGAGTGCATGGCTGTAATCCTAACACTTGGAAGGCTGATCCAGCAGGATCACTGTGAGCTCGAGGCTAGCTTGAACGACATAGTGAGTTCAAAGCCAACCAGAACTACATAGTGAGGCACTGAGCAAAAAAACAAAACAAAAACAAAGAACATCTTGGAAAAATGAAAAGGGTTATATGTATCAGAGCTACATGTAATTACTGCCATTGCAACTTTCAGATGGTTAACTTGGAATAACTTATTTTTATACAATAAGGGTAATAACACCTACCATTATTATCTGATAAAATGCTCTGATAGGATAATAAATGTGAAAGTCCTCTGGAAGGGGTAAAGGGGTATGTGGATATATATTTTGATTATTAATACAATTTTCTGTTCCTGGAATTTCATGTGTTTCTTTATAACCATTAGTGTTATTAATTATTAAATTGTATAGTATAATTTACTCAAAATGCATTTATTGATCTCTTCCATTACATTCCACTAGGCATTGAAAATACAAAAACATATCAGATACAATTGAATTTCATTGAATATCTCAGTTAAATGAGGTATGTTAATAGGTTAACTAGCTTTTATTTTCAGAGCTTGGGATTGAGTGAAAGGCTTTGTGCATTTTAGGCAAGCTCTCTATCACTGGAGCTGTACATCCCCTGCTCCTAACTAACTTTTGTTGGTAGATGAAAATAGTTTCTGGCCTGGAAATTCAAACATGACTTTTTCCCCCAGGTATGGTAGATTCAATCTGGGGTTTTGCACATTATAGGCAAGTGCTTTAACACTGATCTACATCACCATCTCTCCTATTTTGACATAAGGTCTCACTAGTTGTTTAGGTTATCTCCAAACTTGTGATCTTTCTGCCTTAGTCTTTCAAGTAGCTGGGATAACAGGTGTTTGCCAGTGTGGCTAACTCAAACATCACTTTTTAGTGTCGGTAATTTAGAAATCAAATTTATGTCCACCGCCGCTCCCCCAGACGCACCCGCCACTGCACCATGAGAAGCCTGCCTTACTTCTGCGGCGGTCAGGTGGTGCAGGTCTTCAGCCGCGGCTCAAAGCAGCTCGGCATCTCCACAGCTAACTTTACTGAACAAGTAGTAGATAATCTTCCAGCTGACATATCCACTGGCATTTATTATGGCTGGGCCAGTGTTGGAGGTGCAGATGTTCATAAGATGGTGGTGAGCATCGGATGGAACCCATACTACAAGAATTTGAAAAAATCCATGGAAGCTCACATTATGCATACCTTCAAAGAGGACTTCTATGGGGAAATCCTCAATGTGGCCATTGTTGGCTACCTCCGACCAGAAAAGAACTTTGATTCTTTAGAGTCACTTATTTCAGCGATTCAAGGAGATATTGAAGAAGCTAAGAAACGTCTAGATTTGCCAGAACATTTGAAAATCAAAGACGACCATTTCTTCCAGGTTTCAAAAGGAAATATTATGAATGGCCACCAATGAAAAATTACCTTATATACTCAAATGCTGTTTTCTAATGCTTCACTGTTCATTATGCAGTGTCATCTGTTATATTTTCAAAATCAAACATTCCCTACACAATAAATTAGCTTAAAGTATACAATAGTGTAGTTACCAAGGTATGCTTCAACTGTTAAATTAAATCATCATGCTGTATTTCTAAAAAGCCTCTTCTAAAAATCAAGGTTTCTCTTTATGCAATATGAACCCCACTAGAATGGTATTGTCTTATAATGGAAATAAAATGTACTATAAGAATGGGTAAAAAGGCAAGTCTGTAGTTAGAGATGAAAACTGTAATTCTTATGGCAAGATAGCAGCGTGTATGCACTTGTGTAGCATTTGCTGTTGAGTAGAGATGACTTATAAAAGTAAATACGTTAAGCAGAAGTTTGATAATTTATTATAAACCTTAGTAGGAAAGTCCATGCTGGTTTGTATTTTGGTACCAGGGATCGAACTCGGGACCTTGTGCTTGCAAGGCAGGATAGCACCACTGACCCAAATCCCCAGCCGTGCTATATTTTTTATATTTTCTACATTAATATATTATTATAAACATGAAGAATTTTGTAAAATTTGGTTTAACTCATTTTCCTTATGAGTTCAACTCATTTTGCTGTCACCATTTTTTGCATGGAGTTTCCTCAATTCTCAGTGGCCTAGATCCCCACTGACTATCAATTTGTTTTTAAGACAGTAAAATGAGTGCTACATTAATTCTGTAGCTCTCATTTTTGTGTTGGATATTTTCTTATTAACAGTAGATATTCTTGTTCTTCAGCATTTTTCTTGACATTGGTTCTTTTTTCCTTTCAACAATTCTAACAGTTTTTTCCAATTGAAATATTCTACACCTATACACATAAGAGATTGCTTTTGTCCCTGCCATTCCATTCCATCACTATGTGAGTAGTAATTAAGTGTATATTTATATTGCTTTTGTTTTTCAGCACTGGGGATTAAATCCAGGTCCTCACCCACTAGGCCAGTGATGGAGATCCTTTCAGAGCTTTCAGTGATGACAGCCCATTGGGCCACACATACCATGGGTTTGCCACCTCTGCATTAGGCCAATACTCTGCCACTGACTTACACTCCCAGCCCTTGTATTGCAATTTTAGGAAAAACAAACCTCATCTTTAATTTAAATAAACACATAGCCTTTTATTATGTGTGCTAGTTTCTTAACACGAAGTGCTTATTTTTCCCCTTTGGGAAGCTAAGAGCCAATAAACTATGAAATAGTGAGCAGGTTATTTATTTTTAATGTGATTATATATTCAAGTAAATGTAAACTGTTATGTAGGCTCAGTATAACTTAATGCTGATGTGGAGAGTACTTGTAGCTTGAAAAAAAGGTATAAATAAAAATTTAGTTAAATCGTCTTCACACTTTGCATTTTCCCTTTTCCTGACTTTTGGCCACTTGAGTCCTTTGTCTATAAAAGTAAAAAGTTGAAATGTTTGGATACTTAAGGAAGTAAAGGTTACAGTTTGCTTTTTGTTGCCTCAGATTGTCAGTGATTCATTGTTCACTTTGGTAATAGATTTAGCAGGGGGCAGGTTGGGTGGAGAAAGGTTGAAGTATATAGTAGATAATTTTAAAGGGAATTAATTTTCCCTAATTACTGATGTTTAGTAAACATTTATAAAGTATGTTGAAAAACATGTAAAGTTATCAGAGAAAAGGGATGCATATAGAAATTCAGTTAGATTACATTTTACTTTTTTTTGTTTGTTTGTTTGGTTTTTGTGACAGGGATTCACTATGTAGTCCAGGCTGTCCTTGAACTCAGTACCCTAGGCTGTCCTCAAACTTCTGATCCTCCTGCCTCATCCTCCTGAGTGCTGGGATTACAAGCATGCATCACCACGCCCGGCTGCATTTTACTTTGTGTTGTATGAATTTGTGACAAACAATGCAGTTTGTGGCTTTTTCATTTCTTTATAAAAATATTTAGTTTTTTTTTGTTGTTGTTTTTTTGGTTTTTTAAATGATTCTAAGGATTCACCCCAGAGGCTTGTGTTTGCTAGCCTAGCAATCTGCCACTTGAGTTACACCTTCTCTCCCACCCCCTACACTGAAAATACAATCTTTGAAATCCCATGCTTGAAAAAAGCCTCAATTATCAATGACTTTATGAAGCAAGGTTAAAAACAAATGTGAAATTATAAAGACAGATTTGGGTTTAGTCTGAGTAGCCTGCTGCAAATTATATGTTCATTGTGTGGAAGTTCTTTGACATCTTATTACTTTACCTTTCATTAAATAGCCATTGCTTTTGAGAATCATATAGTATGTTGTTCAGGAGTTTGTCTGCACTGTTAACAGTTGTTTGTTAAGTAACTATGCATTATAAGATGTCACAGTAGTTCCAATGTGATTAGTCTGAATATTTCCAGGCCTTTAAATAAATCTTGACTGAATCATTTTTTTTCTAAAAGAAAAAAGAAATCAAATTTATAATGTCATATATGTGGGAGTTGTGCCAGGAAAATGGCACAGTAAACAAATCAAAACTCCCATCTCGCCACAGAAAAGTGTAAAAGAAATAGAAACTGTCAGAAACAACTTTACTGGAACTCTGGAAAAAAACTCAAATATGTACTGTATCCACACAAGAGTGGAGTTAAGAAGAAACCAACTTAAGAATGGTAAAAAAAAAGATTTATGATATTTTTATTTACTTTTACCTCCTCCCTGTGTGGCTCAGCTATGATTTTGAATATGGTAGCCCTCGTTCCCAGTGTAGAATACTGGTCCCTGGTTCTTGAAGGAAAAGAGAGGACCTCATTCCAAATTATTGTGTTAATCTGTCCTAGTCTTTCCAGTGGCCACCTGAAAGAGTAATGCAAAGACTGGAAGAAGTGTTTTATTTTTTAATTTTTTTTGGTACCAGGATTGAACTTGGAACCTTGTGCTTGCAAGGCAGGCAGCAGAGCCATTGAGCTAAATCCCCTGTCCTACTTTTAAATTTTTAATGCTTAGAGTTTGAAGTTCTCTATAAACTACATAAATACAAGCTAAAGTTACAGAGAATTTAGTCAGCATGCATGATAAGGAATAGTATTTTTGAGAATAGTTTATAAATTAACTAAGCAGAGGCAACTAAAGCATTCAACAATCAAAACTAACATATTTTTTATTACAAGGATAATATCATTTCCTGAGTTAGCATATCATAATATTAAAAAAATATTTTGAACAAAAAAAAATCACATGACACACAAATAAGCAGCAACATTTGGTGTGCTCACTGGAAAAAATGAGCAAGTCCATTCCGTACAAAGCTCAGACATAGGAATTACTAGCAGAGATTTTAAAATCAAATGTATTGTGTTCAAAGAGTTAAAAGAAACTATGCACAAAGAAGTAATGAGACCCGGAAAATAATATATAAAATGAAAACATCAATATATAAATAGAAATCATTAAAAAAGAAGCAACTAGAAATTCTGGAGCTGAAAAATATGATAACTAAGAGAAATAATTCATTAAGGTGGGTTAAAAACATTTATGAACAGGCAGAAAAAAGAATAGGAGTATTTGAAGGTAGAAAATTAAAATTATTTATTTCTAAGGGCAGAAGGAAAAAAGAATAAAGAAAACTAACTCTAGCCCAAGGGACCTGCAGGGCAACATCAGCTGGGCCAATATATAGATTACAGAAGTCTCAGAAAGAGAAACAAGGCAATGGGGTATAAAGTACATTTGCCCAGATTAATGGTTAAAAATAGCTCTAAATTTGATGATGAATCTACACATGCAAAGAGCTCAATAAACTCTAGGTAGGATAAACTGGAAGTAACACACTGAAACACATTACAATCCAACAGTTGGAAAAAAAGAATCGTGAAAAAGAAAAAAGTGATACTATGTAACTCATCGCAAAGAAAAAAGTCTCAGAAATATTAATAAATGATTTCTCATCAGAAATCATGGAAGTCAGAAGATACTGAGAAGTTATAAAGAGCACTGAAGAAAAGTATCAATAAAGAAGTCTATGTATTGCAAAACTATCCTTTTCAATTGAAGGTGAAATTAAGACTATCCAGATAAAAGAATATTTGAGAGAGGTTGTTACCAGTAAAATGCCCTACAAGAAATGACAAATGGAGTCTTTTAGGTCTAAATGAGAGGGAACTAGGTAGTAACTTAGAACCATATGAATAAATCATAACATCCAGTAAAGTGTTATTCCAATTTCAGTTTGTAACTCTACAACTTATTTCCTACACGATTAAAAACAAAAATATACAATAACTAAAAACCTAAGATATTGGGTGCACAAACGTATAATGATTTAATTTTTCTCAAAAACATTATAAAGAGGAAGCAGAGCAGCACAGGAACAGAGTTGTATGTTATTGAAACATTGAACTGATATAAATTCAAAGTAGTTCAATGAAATTTAGGATAGTAAAATTGCAATTCTCAAAGCAAGCAGTAAGATAATATTTTAAAAAGTAGGGAGAGTACAGCAAGATGGCAGAGTAACACTCCCCAGGAAATGTGCTCCTTGCAAAAACATCAATTTAAACAACTATTCATACATGAAAACACCTGCACTGGAGCTAAGAAAATCAGATGAGAGTTCACAATACTTGGTTATAGTACAATAAGAAATGACATATCAAAGAGGGTGAAAAGAACAGTTTTACATTACCTGTAAGCCTTCCTGCAACCTCAGGCAGCACAGGGTGGAGAGGAATGGCATTCTCCTGGAGGAAAGAGAAGGAAGTAAGCACAGAATTTTGCATTGGAACTCAATATCAATCACACAATGGTAAAATCTAGCAATAGACAAACTCCTAAGAATCTGGCTCCAGGATGGCACTCACAGAAAATCTCTAGACCCACCAAGATACTATAAATAGAAACTTACAGGCACAAGGAGATGCACTCAAGTTCTGGCACAAATCACCACTGGCTGACTACAGTTGCCTTGGGCTTAAAATGAACCACAGTGAGAAGCAGATCTCAGTAGCTGGGGGATTGGATTCCATCATGGTAAAGTGCTAGTCTTTACAGCTAAGGTATTCCAGACTACTGGCATCTGTTGTGCTGGTCCTGAGTTTAAGTCACCCCTTAGCATTGCTCTGTCATATGGAAGGCAACAGAAGACGTAGCAAACACTTCTGCTGGTAACATTTGAAGGTTGTTTCCAGATAAAGCAGATAGCAAAGGTTGGAATTAATCCTCTTCAATGCACAACATTGATACATGACTAGGAGAATCAAGAACAATCAGGGAAACATGTTGCCACCAGACAGACAAGACAAAAAGTGTCAGTGTTTAACTCTGTAGAGACTTTGCAGATGACATAATCCTACAACTCAAAAAGCTCCACCAAGACTCCTAGAATTATAACCAAATCAGGCACTGTGGATACAAAATAAACACATAATTAACACATTTATTAACTCATTCTCTTATTATTTTGTTATGAAATTTTGTTTTATTTACATATAAAATAAAAACGAATAGCATTCCTGTACACTAATAATGAACCCATTGAAAAAAATTAGGCATACAATACCATTCATAATAGCATCAAAATTAAATATTTAGGTATTAGCCTAACCAAGGAAGTGAAATATCTCTAAAATGAAAGTGAAATTACTCTGGAAGAGGAAATTGAGGACATCTGAAAATGGAAAGACATCCCCTGTTTCCTGGTAGGCACAACCAACATAATCAAAATAGCTATATTTCCAAAGCTATATACAGATTTAATGCAATCAAAATACCAACATCATTTCTCACAGAACTAGAAAAAACAATCCTAAAATTTATTGAGAACCAGAAGAGACCCAGAATAGCAAACGCAATCCTGGGTAACAAAAGCAAAGCAGGTGGCATCACAATCCCAGACTTGAAGTTACACTATAGTCCTGTGGTGATTAGAACATCATGCTATTATCTCAGAAGCAGATGTATATCAAGGGAACAGAATAGAAGAAACAGAAACAGCCCTAGGCACACATAGCTACTTGATAAAGGGCCAAAAATATGCACTGTAGAAAAGGTAGTCTCTTTAATAAATGCTGCTGGTAAAATTGATACCCACATGTAAAATATTGAGTCTAGATCCATATATCTCACCACGTATTAAACCGCAATCAAGACGGACAGAAGACCCAAAAGTTAACATGGAAACACTTAATAGATTGTAAGATAAAATAGGTCTAACTCTTGAGGATATAGGCATAGGCAAGGACTTACTGAACAGAACCCTAATAAACAAATACAATACTGAGGATCAAAAAATTGGATCATATCAAATAATAAAGCTTATGTACAGCAAAGGAAAAAGCCAATAGAGTGAAGACACAACCTACAAAATGGGAAAAATTGCTTTTACTTTGACAGAAGACTAACATCAAGAATATATAAAGAACTAAAAAAATTAGATTCTCCAAAATAAAAATCCAATAAAAATGGGCAACTGAATTGAATAGACACTCTCAGAAGAAATACAAATGTCCAATAAATAAAATACATGAAAAAATGCTCATCATTTCTGATGATCAGAGAATTGCAAATTAAAACCATACTGAGGAAACATCTTACTACACAAAGAGTGGCTATCATCTAAAGATCTAATATTGTAATATCAAGTACTGGTAAAGATGTGGAGAAAAATAAGTTTCTACCTTGTTGGAGGGAATGTAAACTAGTACAACCACTGTGGAAATCAGTGTGGAGATAACTCAAAAAAACTAAAAATAGAAATTCCATTTGTTCCAGCTAACTGTTTCTATTCTATATTCTATATTCTCAAAGCAATTAAAATCATCAGTAGGATACATCCATACCCATGTTTATAGAAGCACACTTTATAATAATTAGATCTTGGAAACAGCATATAGGTCCATCAACAGATGAATGATAAGGAGAATGTGGTATTTTTACACAATGGGGTACTACTCTGCTATAAAGAAAAATAAACCAAGATCCTAATGATATAATTGACAATGTGAAATAGGAAGAAAATGGATAAAGGTGTAGGGGAAATGGGAAGGGTAGGGGAAAGGTAATAAGGGAAAGGAAAAAAATGAGAAAATTCAAAAATGGAAATAAAGTTTTTGTAAATAGGAAAGGGAGGAGGGGGTGAAGGGAGGGCAGGGATAAGGGGAAAAAATGAGAACCAAGACCTGTCATTTAGAGGTACAAGATCCCAATGATGAATGTAAGTGTACTGTGTACCTAAAATGTACCAATAAAAAAGAAAGATAAGAGTCATTTGTATGTAAATAGATACAACTTGAGAACATAATGTTTACTGAAATAAGCCAGACACACATGCTTAAAAATCACCTGGTTTTTCTTATATGAGATACTATGTAGATCTAGCAAAACAGAAGATAGATAAATAAAAAGTAGGAAGTTCAAATAATTCCCTAAATTACTCACTGTCCTGTTTCAAAAGTATTTTAATATATATGCTAATTAATTTCATTTATACTGCTAGTTTTAGTTCATAGAAGAGAAAGTTTTATGCTCTTATCTGCTTATTTTTTGTGAAAGTCTTCTGCATATGTCTTATATTCTGTGTAACTGCTTTTAAGACAATGATACATGTTTTATTAACTAAACTTATTCTCTTATTATTTTGTTATAAAATTTTGTTTTATTTTCATATAAAATAAAAGCATTAGAGATAGAGATCTCTGAATTGGTTGATAATGAATTCAAAAGAGCCATTTTAAACAAGCTCAGTCAAACTCAAGAATAGTTAAAATCATGTCATAAAATGCATCTGAAATGAATAGACACCTCTCAGATGAAGAAATAGAAATAACAGATAAATATATGAAAAAATGTTCCACCTCACTGGTCATTTGAGAGATTAAAATAATGCTGAAATTCCTTCTCACTCAGAAAGAATGGTTATTAACAAGAAATCAACCAGTGACAAATACTGGCAAAGATGTGAGGAAAAAGAACTCTTCTACATTGTTGGAGGGAATGTAAACTAATAGAACATGACTATCAAGAACAATCGGAGAAACATGTTGGCATGGAAATCAGTTTGTCTCAACTATCCTTCTTCTAGGTATTCTCCCCAAATAGTTAAAATCAACATATCAAAAGGATATACCAATACTCCTCAAACTCTTCAGAAAAGTAGAGAAGGAAATATTTCCTAATGTATTCAATGAAGCCATCACTATCTTGCTACCAAAGCCTGATGACATCACAAAAAGTATACATTAATACTCTGTATCAATAGAGATGAAAAAATCCTCAACAAAATATTAGCAAACTAAATTAACTTTTAAATGAGAACTAAACACCAGAAAAAATATGAAACAAGTACATTTGCAATAGCTTCCAAATAAATTAATATTATGGTTTAGATCTAAATGAACCCTTAAATTCTCATGTGTGTGGAAGGTAATTGGATCATGGGGATGCTATTATTGTCAATGGATTGAACCACTACTGCGTTCAGTATATAAAAGTGCTGTTAGGAGGTTAGAAATTGGTTGCTGAGCGCATGACCTAGAAGTGTATACCTCTTTCCCTGAGTCCTCCTTTCACTTTCTGCCTTCTGGCTGCAATGGGTTAAGCATACGTAGGGGAAGAACAAAAAGGGAAAAGAAAAAAATGTGAGAGAATGGAAAGATGAAAATAAAGTGTTTGTAGATGGGGAGGGGAGGAGGGGGTGAAGGGAGGGCAGAGGTAAGGGGAAAAAAATGAGAATCAAGACTTGCCATGTAAAGGTACATGATCCCAACAATGAATGTAACTGTACTGTATCCCTAAATGTACCAATAAACTCAATTAAAAAAAAAAAGCATACTTTCTTTTGCCACGCCATTCTGCTATACTTGTTTTTGTCTTGTATCCAGCTGACCATAGACTGAAACTATAATCCAAAATAAATTTCTCCTTTAAGTTGTAGTTGTCAGAGAACTGTCTCAGGAATAGGAAAGTGACTAAGACAATAAAATACCCAGGAATAACACACTATTAAATATGTAAGGTCATATCTATGTGGTTTTGATTACAGAAACTAATAAAGTATTGTCTAAATGAAAAAAAAGAATAAGGTAAGACTACAAGAGCAAGAAGCAATTTAAATATGTTCAGGGACCATTTTCATCTTCAGAATTAAGGATTATTTTAATCTTACATCATTGCCTTTTCTCTGTTACTTTCCTTTTTGTTTTATTTTACGATTCCCTATTTTTAATGTTCATGCAGAGATTTCTTTAACTGAAATACCGAATAGTTTCTCTGGTGTGAAAAACTATAATAATGCACAGGATCCTAATGAGATAATTAATAATGTGAAATAGGAAGTAAAGGGCTAAAGGTGTAGGGAAAGTAGGAAGGGTGGGGGAAAGGTAATAAGGGAGAGGAAAAATATGAGAAATTGAAAAAAATGGAAATAAAGTGTTTGTAAATGGGGAGGGGAAGAGGGGGTGAAGGGAGGGCAGGGACAAGGGGAAAATATGAGAATCAAGACCTATCATGTAAAGGTACAGGATTCCAATAATGAATGTAACTGTATTGTATACCTAGATTGTACCAATAAACTCAATAAAAAGAAAAAAAAATTCCCAGGAATAAATTTGATCAGGAGGGGGGCAGTAGAAGACCTGTAGACTGAAAACTATAAAATACTATTGAACATAATTTTAAAAGACTTAGAGAAATGGGATGCTATCTGGTTTATGCAATGGAAGAGTTATACTATTGTTAGGATGGTAATACAACCAACTCACAGTGGTCTACAGACTCAATGTAATGTCTATTAAATTTTCAAGTGTTCCTGAATAGCTAAAACAATCTTAGAAAAGAAGAAAAAAATTGAAAGACTTAAATTCATGATTTCAAATTTTAGTTCAAAGCTATAATAATAAAAACATTGTGAGAGTGGCATAAGGTGGACATATTGATCCATGTAATAGAAATAAGCACATACATCTGTGAGTTGGATTTTGACAAGGGTAACATGACTAGTGAACGAGAAAAAAATAACTCCTTCAATAAATACTGTTAGGAAGTGCAATGTACAAAAGAAAGAAGTGTGACCCCTCCCTTCACATCACATACAAAAATTAACTTAAGATAATTTAATGACAAATATAAACTGAAAATCATAAAACTCTTAGGAGAAAACACAGTGGTAAGGTTTTCATGACCTTGAATTTGGTAACAAATTCTTAGATATGAAAGTAAAAGTAAAAATAGCAATAGCAAAATAGATTAATTGGACTTCCTGAAAAATTAATCCTTTCATGAAGCAATAGACATAATCAAAATTTGAAAAGGCAATCTACATAATGAAAAAAATATTTTCAAATTATAAGCGATTAATATTCAGAATATATAAAGAACTTTAACAACTGTAAAACAAAGAGACAACCTAATTTTCAAAAGTGGAGAAAGGATTTAACAGATGTTTCTTAAAAAAAAAAAGAGATTTAAAGGCCAACATGCACAACAAAGGATGCTTACTGTAATAGTCATCAGGGAAATGTAAATGAAAACCACAATAATATACTACTTCACACTCATTATGGAAATATCCCAGAAAATATCAAGTGTTGGTTGGGAGGCAGAGAAATTGAAATCCTCATATATTGCAGATGGGAAGTTAAAATGCCTCAGTTAATGTGGAAAACTTACAGTTCCTCAAAAAATGAAAAAGAGAATGACTACATAACTTTATAATCTTGGTATTAGTCATATAACAAAGAACTGAAAATATGTCCTCAAACAAGTACATGTATGCATATGTTAAATGCGGTACAATTCACAATGCCTTAAAAGGAGAAACAACCAAAATGTTCATCAGCGAGTGATTAGATAAACAAATAAATATTAGTTAGACATGAAAGTACCAATTAGTAAGAAAAAGCATCAGTTAGGAATAAAGTACCAATAAATGCTATCAGACAAAAGAATCTTGAAAATTTATGGTAAATTAAGGAAGGCAGGCATAAAAGGTTGTGTATTGTATGATTCTATATACATTAATTATTCAGATGAGATAAATCCATAGAAATAGATTTCTGATTGGTGGGTTCTAGGACTTGAGGGTAGCAAAGACCAGGAGGAGCTGTTTGACTGGTAAAACAGCTTTATTTTGGAGGGATGGAATATTTTGAACTAGATAGGAGTTGTTGTATACTATGTTCACTTTGAATTGGTTACTTTTAATCTAGGAGTATGAGACAGGGGGATTACACATCAGAGGCCAACCTGGGCCACTTAGCAAGACCCTGAGGGAGAAAGGAAGGAAAGGACAAGAAAAAAAAGTGAAAAATCTAAGAAAAAAATAGAAACAAAGCTTTTGTACATAGGTAGTACGTGGGGCTTGAGGGGAGAACGGTGGGATAAAATAAAATAAAAATTATTTAAAATTCATAGAAAAAATGAAAAGGACTGTGGATGTAGCTCAGTGCAAAAGCCCTGAGTTTAGTACCTAGTACTGCAAAATGATGATGATGATGATGATGATGATGATGATGATGATAATGAATTGAGTTACATATTTAATACATACTTTATAAATAAAAATTTGGAAACAAAAAGCATATAAGAAGAAAATAAATGTCACCTGTGTTTTACTAATTTAAAGATCTTTAATGTTTTGGTTAACTACCATGTGTGATATTATTATTTCTTAGAAAGCATGTTTGGAGCTGTAGAAAAATGACTAGCATTACCTTTGTTATTAAACCCTATACTGAAGAGTGATTTAAAATGATTACTTAGTATAAAGTCCAAATTAGTGGTAAGGTCTTCCTTGAGATGAATCACAACCCATGTAGAGATTCATGCCCAGATTAAGTAAGCTAAAACATGAAGGTGTGGGTTCATATCTCTTTTCTGTGTTTTGTGTTAGAACATCTCCCCAAAGAGTCAAAGTTTTTACTTTAGAATGCAAATCCTTGGAAACTGCATTCAGGAACACAATTCAAACACTACGAAATTTAAGCAGATTTCCTTCCTGTCTTGCAGTTCTCATATTTTGGAAAAGATAACTAAAATAACAAGCAAAGTTCTGCACTTAAATAAATTTAACACTTTCACTTCAACTGACATTAAAATTTTTTAAAGTAAAAGAAAAAGTGAGTTCAAATGAAGATTTTAGTCACTCCATGTGTGAGATTAATGAAAAAATCTGTAACATTACTGTTAATAATTAACAGTTTGGGAGGGGAACCACTACACTGAGATACAGATAAGTTCTCTTAAAAGACACCAAACCTTTTCAACAGGCATTAGATGGGGGTTAGATTAGACTATATTTGAGGTCATTTTCTTTTTTTTTCTCTTTAAGAAATCTTTAATTCTAAGAAATTAATCCAGAATTGAATATATTCACTACTATTCCTACTCATGCAGTAAAGGAAATATGATATAACTTTCAGTAATATACAAGAGACTTTTTCTTTTATTAATATCTAATACAAGTTTCCTTATTTGTATATGTACTACAATTCCATCTTAAAGAGTCCTAATAGGATTACAGCATTTTCTTGCAATTATTGCTTTATTCCTACGAAGACTAACATTTGAACTTGTGATGGCTTCCTATCTTAAACCCAATTATAGTGTTCTCTGAAGAAAATATTTCTATAAGTTATTAACTTGATTCCCATAAAATATGGTCTCAGCAAATGTGAAAAAAAATCATGTTATTTCTTTGTTGAATGCTATGAGGGAAAAATGCATTCTTCTCTACAAAAAGTGGGTTTATAGAAGAATTCTGATATTAAAAATGATTTCGATGTGTTCAACCTCTGAAATGATTAGTAACTCCAAGTAATTTTCAAATTGGGAGGCAAACTACTAGCAATAAGTTCATCAAATTTAGATCTGTCTTGAACAGGAACATTATAGAAATCAAGAACATCTCTGACACTGCACATTAGGTGAAGCGTGGAGTTAGATACTGCATGGTCCAAATCATCAGCTAAATGTGCCAAGAGACTGAAATTCATATGACAATCTTCTAGTGAGATGTCTTGCCAATTACTGGGATGAGATGAACCAAAAATTTCTCTAATATGAGATTCCAAATGACTCTGGAGATCTTCAGGTGGTATGCATGTTTGGTTTCGTAGAGGTGGACAAATCAGAATAGGTTCTTTTTTCACTTTTTCTGTCTCAGTGACCACTGGTTCTTTCTCTTTGCTGGATGGAGACCAAAACTCTCTACGTGCCACCTCTGTTACCATCCATGTCAACCTCTTCTTGCAATACCGGAGACACACAGGGCCGCCATACTGAAGGAAAGCTGGAGGCGCTTGAACTCTTTGAGGTCATTTTCAACTGTAAGATTTTATAATTTTCTGATTTGGTGATAATTGAGATGCCCATTCTTAAACCAGTTCCCCACTGTCAACTTTATTACACACATAATTCCTACTTTCAAGTAATAATAGTGGATTATATTAATGCTTTGTAATTTATAAAATGCTTTTATATATCTATCTCATTCAGTCCTAAAAATGGTGCAGTGGGCTGAGTGGAATCATCTTTGTTTTATAGGTGACCAAACAGATGCATTTCAGAGAGCTTATTCCTCCCCCTCTCCCTTTTCTCTATTTAGATAATCTACAAGGCCCATTTTAGGAACTAGATCCTTAGTGAATAGCATGTGAAGTGATTAAGATCTAACTTGATTTTCTTTCACATTTCATTGAATTCCCATTGCATTTACAAATAATTATATTTTGTTACTAGAATGTTATATTTTATTTATATCTTTTCCTGTGCGTTGCAATGCAGCAACATACAAAGAAAACATAGTTTTATAATCAGTGAGTTTGAACCCCAACCCCACAATCTACAAGAGTGTAATTTTAAAAAAATTTGCCTAAGTTCTTTAAGCCTAAAATTCCCATCTGTGAAATGAGGATAACATGCCCACCTTATAAGCTAGCTTTGCTTATCAAACAAACAAACAAAAAATGGATGTAAGGTATTTTTCTATGTTCCCAATTAGGCTGCAATCACCCATGAGGGGCCTCATTTAGAAACTTTGTTGCTTCCTCACAGAGTTAGATTCATAGTAGAGTAGTTGATACCTACATTTCTATGGATTGGAAAGACTTGGAATGTATGTTATTGTAGAATTCAATCCTCCATATAGGTTTATAACCTTCATATAGACTCATCACATCATATAGGCCTATTTTCCACAGTCTTTGAATCTAATATGCCCAAATCTCCTACCACCTGTGCTGAATCTGAATAAAATTTTAACCTACTAATAAGCAAGTGATTGACTTCTATCACCACAGACTATTTGCTTGTCATAGAGATGTAGATTTTTGTTTTTAATATACAGGCTCCTTCAGAAACTATACATTTTGTGAAACTGTTATTAATAGAAAGTTTAGACACAAGCTTTTCCTTGATTGACCTTTGTTGCTATGACACCTATTAGAAGCAGTCACTACTTGAATTGATAACTCACTCTGAAATCTTTAACGCTTACAATTCTTTTTTGTTGGACAGCAGAATAAACATGAAGAAGGACAAATAGAGTTTAGCAGTTACCAAAGAGTCTTTACTAATGCAAGTAGTGCGATAGATAATCCATAAATAAATAGAAATCTTCTTATATCTCATCCTTTATTATTTGCCTTTCTATTGTATGCATGAAAGTTATAGCTTTAAATAGCCACTTCCTTATTTTCTAGAATATATATAAAAAACTCCTTCAAATGATCTTTTTTTTTTTTTTTTTTGTTGT